AAAGAGTTTGTTCAATTATTTTTAAAACAAAAACATTGAAATAAACAAAAGTTATACAGAAGGGTAAAATGGTCATTTTTATCATTCAGCATAGCAATTCAGATTTATTCAGATGTTCCAACCAAACACTATGTTATAAATTCAGATCTTAATAATTCAGACTCTCTTAGAAATTCAGACCTCTTAAAAATTCAGATCTTAAAAATTCAGACCCTGCCAAACAGCCCCTTACACCCTGATAACGACTCTTATGTATTACTCAAGGTTATTGGGTTTTCTCCTTGCTATATTACTTTCAAGAAAGAAAACTGATTACATATTTAATGAAAACTATCTAACCTATTTATAGACTACATGCTAAATACAATAAAATAGCAAATACAATAACAAACTACCTAGCCCACATACTCTTTTATTGTCTCCATAAAACCCGCCGTTCATATATATCTCTCAATACTCGGTCAAACAAAGAATCAGTAAACCCCACTAACTCTTCTTCGTTTCCGGAGACTAAATCAAGCAGTCCCATGATCTGTGACTCATAACCTAATTCGCTCCATGCACTTAACCCATCAAGATTACCCAACACCTTACTTGGTAGAATTCTCAACTTCTCTTGATACTTCACTTTACATACATTACTCTCACTTGCAAAAATGCATTTTCAAATTAGCGACTTGATCGTTTGAGCTTTTCTTCAAAAGACCTTCCTTGGAACTGCTAACGTTTGTTTGCATCTTAATTAGATATACAAACAACTACCAAGAGCAAGTTCTTCTCCACAAGTGTAAAAAGGATTCATCTTTATTTTCCCAATTTTACCACGATGCTTATTCCCGATTGCAGCATATAAAATCTTGAAGAGAAATTTTTGGATCTTTATGCCCAAATACATGCAAAGAAAATTCTTATTTGACTTTAAACAATCAATCTTATTTGTTTTGAACTCCAAGTCAACAAGGTCTGATTAAAAGTTTTATGAAAATTTGAAACTACATTATTGAAACTTTCATGTCATTTTTTTGCTTCAAAAATACAATATTTGACTAACAATAGTTAAATAATAACTTTTATGCTAACTGCTGGAATTAAAAAAAATTCCATAAATAATCTTACATCAATATCTATCTATCTATATATACTTATAAAAGAGACATTTTTATTTGCTCCAGATGCATTTGAAACCTCCATGACTTTTCAATTTCTTTCTAATAATTATTATAAATTGGTTAATAATGTTAAAGTAATGTAAAAACTAAATTTTAATCATAAATTAACTAAACAACAATATTAAAATATCATATTTTATTTCTATTATAAAATTATAACTTTAACTTTTTAACATATTATAGTCAACTTATTAGTTTAGATATGTTGTTGGATGTGAGCAATTGTCATTTTAAAGTCACAAAATTTGTATAATTTATGATTTTATGCAAAATATGTAAATTATTAATTTCAATATAATGTTAAATGGTTAATTTAAATCAAAATTTCAGTTAAAAAATCGAGAGACTATTTTTATAAATAGTTAAAAGTTATAAATTATAGTGGTAAACCTTAAATTGTAATCATAAATTAATAAAAAAACATGAAACTGATTTTTTTAATCATTAATAATTTTTAAATAAGTAGCTTAAAAGTAACTTACAATAAGAATAGTTAAAACTACTATTATATAAAAAGTTACAATGTTATCTTTAAAAACAAAAACAATGTTTATTGTTTTGAATAATTACAATCAAAGAAACTAACAATATTCATCAATTAAATTTTAAAAAAGTTAAATTTCTTAAACAAAATTAAAATAATTAAGACTTTTCAAATACGTTATTTTAAATAACTTACAACAATAATAGTTAAAAATAACATTATACACCAAAATTATATTGTTACCTTTAAAACAAAAACAATGTTTGATGTTTTAAACAATTAAAATGATAGAAATTAAAATTTGAATCAAATAAAAAATTTAAATTAATTAATTAATTAATCATAGCAACAACTATAAATATCATTAATTCATATATTATATTTTATTTTATTTTTAAGTAACCCGCATGTAGATGCCATTAAGACAATTGAGATAATAAAATTTTAAAAAATGTCTATATTATCATATAATTCAAAACAAACAATATTTATACCAACTTATTATAAGATTTATTATATAAAAGCTAACAACAACATCGTTGATATATTTAAAAAACATTTATTTGTAAAGATTTCAAATATATTGATGTATTCTGCGCAACACGCGTGTATTCGTCTAGTATATAATTAATCCTCGCATCATACAACTTCATAGCCATCAAAAGCATGCAGGTAGAAAAAATTCATCATACTTACCATTATGTTTATTTCTGATTGCTAGCTACATAGAGAATCTTACAGAGAAAATTTGAAATCTTTATGTTAAAATGCCAAAAAAAAAAAATCAAATTTGTCTCTGAACAATCAATCAGATTTTTTATGAACTCCATTATCCATATGGAAAAAGTTAAACTACTATAAACCTTTCATGTGTTTTTGGCTTCAAAAAAAAAAAAAAACTATTTTTGACCTTCAAAAGTTAAACAGTAATTGTATACGTTATTGGAATTCCAAAACACCCCATATATACTTTATGCTCATCAAACGATTGCTTTTCATATTCCTAACCCAACTCATCATCAAGTTTATAAACAAAGAGTTAATATTTACAATTTCAAATCAAGAAGCAAATCCCCTTGAAAGAAACAATAATGTCAGCCTCTTCTTCATCATCAGAAGTAAGCTTGAAGCTTCTGATCGATACCAAAGCAAAGAAAGTCTTATTTGCAGAGGCCAACAAACGGTTCGTGGATTTCCTCTTCCACATCCTTTCTCTTCCTATTGGTACTGTGATCAAGCTTCTCAACAAGACCTCGATGGTGGGCTCACTAGGAAAACTCTATGAAAGCATCGAGAACCTGAGTGATACATATATGCAACCAAACCGAAGTAAAAATTCCGTTTTGAACCCCAAAACCCGTGAAATATGGGGCTCATGTCCCACTTTTGCTACCACCCAATGATCACAATATTCCAATGGCCCAGAAGTTTTACAGATGTAATAGTAGTTGTTATTCCAATGTAACTGATGATCCTGATGTTACGTGTCCTCGGTGCCGAATTTATTCCATGACCACTCAGTTGACCTTTGTGGGTGGTGGTGGTATGTTGAATGGGACGACGGAGGGTGGTGGTTTTGTGAAGGGGGTGGTGACTTACATGGTTTCGGATGATCTGGTGGTGAAGCCAATGTCCAATATATCTAGCATTACTATGTTGAATAAGTTTAATGTGAAGGAAGTTGGTTGTCTTGAGGAAAAGGTGGTTTCTTTGAAGATGAAAGAGGTATGTGCTGCTGTTTCATACTGTGCTACGCATAGTTGCATATATTGCTTATTTCTTTATCGGCTAATAGCTTGTTTATTATAATGTAGTTTCAAATTCATCGGTTCTTGTAACTATTTTTCAATGTGTTATTGATGTTTTACCAATTTATGTAAACCATTTGGTAATATAATGCATGCTTTGGTAATTAAATGGTGGCATTGAAATCTGTTTGAATAAATTAACTAGTAAATATCCGTTGTATTTATCTATAAAGTGGTAGCATAAACAAGTGTTATACTTTGTAGGGTCTGATGTTGCTGAAGGCCTCATTGCAGAGCAAGAATGTGCTTACGAGTGTGTTCCTGGAGTAAGGGTTAAGGGTGCTTGTCACTGTCCTCAATAAAAGTTAGGAAACTTGTTATAGAGTTTCTAAAATCAGTATATTTGGTATTCAATCTTCAGAAATGTTCTGGTTTTTCACCTTTATGTTTTTGATTCCAACTTTATTTTGCAAATGCGATGCATATGGTTGTTGATTCCTAGTTTTATACAGTTTTCACCAGTTGCACTCTGGATATGCCTAAAAACTATCCGCCAGAGTCATCTTTTTTGCCTTAAAAATCTGCATAGATGCTAAGTTTTTTCTTTCGATGTTTCAATGTTTCATTCAAATGCCGGTAGTTCTATACTAAATTATTATCGTGTTTTATTTTGAGAAATTGATATTTGTTCTGAAAAAATGTTATATCTAAACAAATGTTTTTGAATAATAGGAAAGTTAAAATTGTTTTCCCTTCTGTCTAAATTTATGGTCAGTTTGATAATCTTTTTAAATTGTGAGGCTATGATTGGCCTGGTAGCTAAAAAACTAGAAGCTAACTCTAAAAAACTAGAAGCTAACTGAAAGGTATATTTGGAAAGTTTAAAAAAACTTTGAATAACTGAAAGGTATATTTGGAAAGTTTAAAAAAGCTTTAAAAAACTAGTTTAATTAACTTTTTAAAAAGTTAGTTTATAAGTTGTTTTTTAGTTTGCCAAACATAACAACTTAAAAAACCCGAAAAATATCATACCTTATTAGCTGTGGCGCGCCAAACACAAACTAAATTTTAGATGATTAAAAGATTAGTTATTTATGAACTAATATAGATTCTTGAATGTCTGATATAAGTAAAATCATCTTAGCAAATTTCAAGTTTTGTAAACAATCATAACAAACTATTAGACTAAAAGGAGTGGTAACACTATTGGCATGTTGCCACATATGATTTTTTAGTTTTTTTTATGACACATAGACTTAGCATTTTTAGCACCAAAAAGGTAGGGAGTGGAAGTGTGACAATTTAATAGGTTTAATTTTGAAGAAAAAAATTAAATATATAAAGAAATACAAATTAACCATTCACAACACACCTAATACTTTCTCTTTCTCTCGCCACACACATAGCACCTCTTTCTTAGCACCTTCCTTAGCATGAGAGGTAGGGAGTGGTGTAATATCTTTAGCACTTCCCTTGACACCTCCCTTAACACCTCCACTCCCTATAGCCTTAATATACTAAGTCAAGTTATATGAATGATGATTATGAAAAATAATCATTGACTATTTCTTTTAAAACGTAAATGATAAATACTTAGAAAATTATATACAATTATATTTTAAAATACTAAGTAAAAACATTTATATAAATGATATTTACAAAAATAATCATTTTTACTAATCAATTATGTAAATTCATTTGACTTGTACGCATTTGTGTATAATCATTTGACCAGCATTTTAAAAATGTCAAAACAACGACCAAGTTTGGAACTTGGCTAGTTTCTGTTGAATTTCAGACTTGATATTAAAAAATCTAATAATTAGTGTTATGAACAAATCACGAATTATTTAGAATAGACAAACAAACAAATGGATAGATAGCATTTATGATTAAATATCCAAACGTTTTCACACACAACAAACATTTAATATAGATAAATTTATGATTAAATATCCAAACGTTTTCACAAACAACCAACGATTAATATAGATGATTAAACATTGAGATGTTGCGAAAATAATAAATCTAATTATCATTAATATTATTACCAAGTTTCGTCTAAAAATCAGGTAGAAGAAGTAGATGAGGAAGAAGAATAAGGAAAAGAAGAAGAAGAAGATCGGTCATATTCTGAAAACATGACAAATACTGAGAAATCAGATCACGAAGAGCATACAAACTTTGGTAATCTTGATTTCTGGTTCTTTATTCTAACAATAATAAAACGATCTTAACATAATGTTAAATAAATACTACAAATTATTGTGAAAAGACTAACCTGATATGTGTTTATGGAAGCGTTGCAGGATTAAGAGGGCGGATGATGATTATGCAGTAAAGCTGGTACCGACAGGAAGGATTGAAGAAATTATGTTAGCAAGGTAAATGATTGAATAAATTACGTTAAAAACAATGAAGAAGAACCGAAGATAGATACCGTTTGCAAATAATTCTCTGATTCTCTGAAGCAGAATGCTGAAAACAAAAGAAGCGTATACATGGTATGTAATTGTATGTATTTCGGTATTTCATAATTTGGGGCAGATTTTTGGGATTTAATCACTGAAAATTATTTAATTTCCAATCACAATAAACAAACTTCCATATTAGATGGGGTATTTGAAATTTGAAACTTGAATAACCGATATTTTCATATTATTTGCAAATCTTTTATTCTTTTTAATTATTTGATTGCATTTTTTGATATTACTTTTTTCCGGATTTATTTTCCCTAATTTAACTGATGGCATTTTCGTAATTAGAGTTGTAAAAAAGAAGCGGGAAAACTGTTTTTAGGGGGCTGGAAGAATGACACCTATTCTACTTATTTATTAGAATAGAGGATTATGGAGGATTATTATTATTTATTAGGGAGGATAGGGTGTAAGGTCATTCCCAATTGGTAGGTCAATGGGGAGTAGAATATGACGGGAGAAGTAAGGCAAAAGAAAGTTCTTAAAACCGGGTACAATATGGTTGTTGAAGGGCCCATTCGTTCCAAACATCCAAAAATGGGTATCTGCACTTGGTTTAATTGCAAATCAGGTAGAAATGTGTAGAAAACTAATCCTTCACTTAGTTGTTATCGACTACAGAGGTAGATATCAATTCCTAGACTTTTTAACAAAATGGTAGATGTTTAGCAAATATGTTGGAAAAATTCTGTTATAAGTAACTTCATTTTATTATAAATAAACTCACGAGATCTTTAATTAATGTCAATCAGACATAGTATATGAGATTCGTATTATCAAAACCTTGTATCACCTAGATGAGTTTTGACATCAAACGATTACTTTTCATATTCCTAAAGATCTCATAAATACGATCAATAAATGTGGACATCAAACGATTGCTTTTCATATTCCTAATAACTCATCAAACAAGTTTATAAGCAAAGATTTAATCTGTACCTGTTCACATAATTAACAAGCAAATCCCCTTGAAAGAAACAAAAATGGCAGACGATTCATCATCATCAAAAGTAAGCTTGAAGCTTCTGATCGACTCCAAAACAAAGAAAGTTTTATTTGCAGAAGCCAACAAAGAATTCGTGGATTTCCTCTTCTACATCCTTTCTCTCCCTGTTGGTACTGTGATCAGGCTTCTCAGCAAGAACTCGATGGTGGGTTCACTTGGAAATCTCTACGACAGCATTGAAAACTTGAACGATATGTATATGCAACCGAACCAAAGCAAAGATTCTGTTTTGAATCCCAATACTGTGAACTATGGGGCCAATGTGGCACTATTGCCACCTAATGATGTCGTTCCTAAGGCTCGGAAGTTTCACAAATGTCCTAGTCATAATACCTATGTGACAGATAATCCTATAGCTGTGTGTCCTAGCTGCAATAATAAAATGAGCACTGAGGTGGCCTATGTGAAAGGTAGTAATTCGGTGAAGGAGACTGTGGAGACTGGTGGTTTTGTGAAGGGGGTGGTGACTTACATGGTAATGGATGATCTGGAGGTGAAGCCAATGTCCACCATATCTAGCATTACTTTGCTAAACAAGTTTAATGTGAAGGAAGTTGGTGGTCTTGAGGAAAAGGTGGTTTCTTTGGAAATGAAAGAGGTATATGCTTTGGCTTGTTTTAAGCTACTACTTTTATAGATGCGATACTTAATTTGTTTATTGGCTAATGGTTTGGTAATGCAAAAACTCAGTACATGCGTTCGTGTTTAATTTAATTTAAACTTTACCAATATGTATAATCATTTTGGTAAATAAATGCATACATTTTTCTCCAGTTAATATCCAAAATAAAAAAATTGACTTGTTTAAATTTATAAGAAATTCATGGTAAAAAAATTTCAAGTTCGTTGAATAAAAAGTCAATTACTCTATGCATAATCACTAATATCTAATGTTTATACTTTCTAGGGTTTGTTGTTGCTGAAGGCCTCACTGCAGTGCAAGAATGTCCTTACGAGTGTGTTCTTGGCTTAAGAATGGTGGCACCTGTGTTGCCTAAATAAAAATTAGTAAACTTTTGTTTTGAGTATGCATGTTTGCCTTTTAAATCTTTGTAAAAATATTTTATCTCTTTCTATATAATTAATATATTATGTTCTTGATTCGAACTTACCTAATGTGATGTATCAGCATATGGTTGTTGATTCTCGGTAGAATACGGCTAGACTATTTTGTTCTCTTTCGTTTGTTTAATATACTAATTGTAAAAGACCTGAACTAGTTAGTTTCATTTGGTGTGTTCTCCTCGTTTCCAAATATACTGTGATTTTTGAAAAAAAAATACAATTTTTGAACTTTGATTTCTGACAATATGGTGGTCCGTAAATCAATATGGTGGTCCTGGAGGCTGTATGGGCGTGTGAGAGTAACAAGGCGCCAGGTCCCAATGGTTTTACCTTCTCTTTTGTAAAACATTTCTGGGATATTCTTCAACCGGACGTCCTTGTGTTTGCTTTACAATTCTTTGACTCCAAACATATCCCTTCCGGATGCAATTCTTCTTTTGTTACTTTGATTCCCAAAATGACAAATCCTTTGCTTATTAAAGATTACCGTCCTATCACTTTGATCGGAATTCAATACAAGGTAATTGCCAAGTTACTTGCCCTTCGGTTAGCTAAAGTGGTGGATTCGGTGGTGAGTTCAGAACAATCTGCTTTTATTAAAGGCACACAAATTCTCGATGAAGCATTAATGGTCAGTGAGATGGTGGATTGGTGTAAGACGAGAAAAAAAAAAACTCATGATTTTTAAAGTTGATTTTTGAGAAAGCCTATGATTCGCTTTCTTGGGACTATTTATTTCATATCGTGAGTTGCATATTCTCTAAGAATTGGTGTGATCTCATTCAAGGTTGTCATGGAAATGTTCTTTCTTCTATCTTGTTGAATGATAGCCATATAGAAGAATTTCATATTAGACGTGGTCTAAGACAAAGGTTACCCATTGTCTCCTTTGCTTTTTTTATTAGCTATGGAAGGACTTCATGTCGTAGAGGATGCAGTTGATACAGATCTTTACAAGGGTTTCCCTATTAGAGTTGATGGCATTTGTTTATCGCATTTGTTTTATGCTTATGATGCGATATTTCTTAGGGATTGGAAGCGGGAGAACATTGTTAAATTGGCATTCTGCATTGTTTTTACATGGTTTCTGGACTTTGGGTTAACTTACAAATATCTAAACTTTGTGGAGTTAATGTTAATCATTCAGAGGTGGAGCAATTTGCGAGTTTAACACGTTGCAAGGCTGCTAAGCTTCTTTTTTTTTATTTTTTTATTTTTTATCTTGGCCTTAGGTGTGTCTAGATTATTAGGATGTAAACCTATTCTTGATAAGTTTCATAAGAAACTTAATTCCTAGAAAGTAAAAATGCTTTCAATTGGCGGTAGATCTTTGCTTTTTGAAAGCGGTGTTGAGGTCGCTTGGGATCTATTATATGTCGTTGTTTTGAATGCCAGGTGTGGTGAATAATTATTTGGAGAAAATTGAGCGCCCGATTTTTTTTGGGGCCAAGAGGAAGATGTTAAAGAATTACATTGGGTGAAGTGGGATTGTGTCATGGCAAGTAAAGAGAAAGGAGGATTATACATTGGATCCTTAGATGCTTTTAATAAAGTTTTGTTATTTAAATGGAAATGACAGTTCCTTAAAAATAATAAAGCCTTATGGTGCAAAGTGTTGAAAGGTGTACATGGTAGAGATGGTGGTTTGGGGTGGAGTGTTGATTTAGGTCTGAAAAAAAGTGTATGGTCGCGTATTCTTAGTACCATTAATCAGTTAAATGATTCTGGTACTATTACCATTACCAGGGACGCTATTCAACGAAAGGTGGGGGATGGGGCTTCCACATATTTTTGGAAATATATTTGGCTAGGGAATTCACCTCTCATGGTGAGATACCCATGATTATTCATTTTGGAGATTGATAAATATTGTAGAATTAATCAAAGGTGGAACAGGCTTACTTGTACTTGGTCTTGGTGCAGGTCGATTCGAGGGACTTTGTTTTCTCAATTGCATCAACTCTGGACTTGATCCATGACTTCATCATATCAACATCTAGTGATCGGTGGGTTTGGAATATTGGTAATGGTGATGAGTTTTGTGTTTCATATACTAGAAGACTAATTGAAGACAATTCTCTTCCTAATGGTATGATCGAGACTAGGTGGAACAAATATCTTCCTAAAAAGGTGAATATATTTTATTGGCGATGTCGTTTGAATCGTCTTCCTACTTGAATTAATCTTGATGCAAGAGGTATGGATGTGCTGTCAGTTGTGTGTGGTGTTTGTAACTCAGATATGGAAGATATTTCACATTTACTAATTACTTGTGAAGTTGCTTCTGAATTGTGGAAGTTTGTTGGTAGATGGTGTGACATCAATATTCCTAATTTATTGGGGGTGTAAGAGGTGGTTCAGTGGGTGAGTATAGTTAATCTCTCTTCACTTAAAAAGACGGCTTTTGAATCAATAATAATGACAATGTGGCGGCTTCTTTTGAATTTTAGGAATTTAATCATCTTTAATGGTCAGAATACTAGAAGGAATTCCCTAATCGATAGATTGATTGATTATTCCTATAATTGGTTTATAACCAGAAATAAGGAGTTAAGTGGTCTTGGTTATTAAATCCTATTTTATCGATACCTATGTAATTCTTTATTAGCTTTTTTGCTAATATTTTTCAATAAAATTCAGTCGTTCAAAATAAAAGTCAAAATTTGTGAAGTTGGCTTATAATTTTCGAACATGGTTCAAAAACAAGAGTTTTTGAAAGAAACTCTAATTTTTGAAATATGATTTGCTGCAGTAAGTTATTTCAAAAATAGCTTTATCAGAATTGTCAAAATTTATTTTTGAATTTTTGAACTCGCTTAAATTTCAAAAGTCTATTTTTTGACATAAAAGTTTTTTGAAAATTGTTTTTTTTCGAAAATTTTGACCTTGATTTTTATTTTTGAGGTACTTTTTTTACAAAAGATGGTTCGATTTTTTTTGAACATATCGAAAAGTTTGGAATTTTTTTTGTTTATTGTATTTAAGGTTAAATTTCCAACCTATTTAAGGGTACTCAATGCATATTCTAAATTTCTCATGTGAGTAAGTGGTAATAAAACCTTATGAGTGAGATGTTTTGGAATGCGTACAATTGTTTTTTCAAAATTTCTGACTAAGGGATTAGCAAAACAAGAGAATCCATCCGGTCAAAAGATTCAAAAAGCAGTTGCATGCCAATGACATGCAACATACGGTCTATAATGTCGAAATCTTGAACTACATAAATTCAATCTAAAAGATGGGGTTGTACGGAATCAAGTTTTATGGCTTGATTCCTACATATGATATGACCACAATTTAGAATATGGCTTAAAACGGAAAAAACAATTGGTAAAAAGTGGTTGAATCAAGGTGGGTGGTGGAGGAGATATCAATGGTAACACAAAGTTAGGAATTTATTTATACTTCTTAGTTCGATGACATCTCGGGTGAAAATGTATCAAAGACTAATCTTTTACATGTGTTGGCATTTTCTAAGAAGCACCTATATATTCCTAGTGGAGAAGTGGATTATCGTGGAGAAGAGAAGTCAGGTGGTGAAGGATAGTCTCGTTTGATGGTCGTTGTGAATGTGGTAAGGCTACAAAAGGTGAAAAGCTGTGATGAAAAGACACTTGATCAACTAAGAGAGCTTTTGGGGGAGGTACTTTTTGGTTTATGTATATTCATAGGTGTATCTTATGTTTTGGTTGTTTTAGTGTTTCTTATGAATGGTAAATAATCATAGTTGTTGTAATGAATTGTTAATGTTTTCTTGTAAGATATGACAATGTAATTTATGACGAAGATGTCTATCTTAGGAATGGTAGACCAAGGCTCATCGTTTGGTTGTAATGAATAATTTCTTTTGTGCTTTGATGTTTATGACTTATGAATGTACGACAACCATTTTTGGTAATACATAATAGGAGGTTTAAAAAAATTGCTTTGTATTAAAGGTTCATTTATAGAAAATTGTGTGTATGATTCACTTATGTTATTTTAAACATTGTTTCATATAGACAATTAAGCATACAATTCATTTATAGGCCATTATGTGCTTTTTTTTTGTTACAAACAATTGTATGTATGGTTTGAGTTCATCATGTTAACCAAGTTTCAGTATCTAGGTTTGGTATCATTAAGTTTCAATTTCTTGGTTTTAGTCAAGATTCAAGAACATTGTAATCATGTTTGTCTTCTTTTGTAGATTTCAATTTGGATTTATGTTCAAAATGAAGGTTTGTGTGTGATTTTGGTTTTGCATGAGTTTTTAGATTTGGACATCTGTGGTTGTAGGGTACATTCATGTTTTCAATTTTCGAGAGGGAAATGACATGTAAGTGGAAAAAAGGAAACTATCATGATATACATGGCACATGAGAGTTCTTGGTGGTAAGAAATAACCATGTGTTAGTGTTAGGGGCGAATTTAGGGGGGGGGGGGTCACCGGTGGCACCGACAACCCTTAACTTTTCCGGCCGTAGTGGAAAATTTTTATTTTTTCTACTATCATGCAACTCCTAACTTTTCCGTGCACCCCCTACTTGGAAATCCTGCGTCCGCCCCCGGTTAGTGTGAGGGATAAAGCCTATTATTTATTTAGTTTGAAATAAAAACCATTTCTGTAACAATCGGAAACATTGGACCAAATGTGTTATATTAAAAAAACGCCCGGGACCAAACATCTAATTTAGTCTATTGGGCTAAACTGCCAACGGGCTCGGTGCTTCTTTCTTTTCCCGTTTGGACTTTGGTTGCGCCTGCTTTTTATTTCCCTTTACAAAATAATTCTTGAAAACCCCCTTTCGCTACAAACGCCATAGCTGCCGCTGGTGCCATCTTCTTCCTGCATCATTCCTCTAGTGAAGAACTTAATATCCGCTTGCTAGTGATCGGTAAATCATCATCTATTTTGTCTAATCTGTTCGTATATTCTAGCTAAAATTTCAAAACATTGCATATATTTCTCGAGGAATATATTGTTTTATGTTTCGTGCTATAATTCCTTCGTTTTCTTCTAATTCGAATACGGAGTTTACTTGAAAATATCAGGAGCATAACGGCGGTTGGGGTTTTGTAGGGGAATTTGCAATGGTGGTGCCTGCTCATCTCACAGCTGAGGCTGTTAATGAGCTTAGAGAAGGTATCGATCTGCTTCTTGGTCGATGGAGTGCACTTCAGATGGCTATTCAGAACGAATGGGGTGGACGTGACACTCGACAGAAAGCCCAACAACTTGCACTTGATATCTATCACTGGCTAATCAGACCTGCTGGTAATTTCTGTTTTGCTTTAAAATTTACTTCTGTTCTGATGTATGTAATTGGTATTATTCTGAATTATTCACATTTGGTATTTTCTTGAGAGGATTAATTGGTTTCTATTTCCTTAATTCAGCTTTATCTAATACAAAGTCAATGAGGTCACCTGTTTTTTGTTAGAGGTGATTCAATGTTCATTTAACATACTTTCTTTCGTCTGTTTTCAGAGGCATTATATGTAGATGATTTGGAGAATTTACTTGATGATTTTATGCTCTCTCTTAATACAGAGATCGATGATGGTAGCATTGAGGAGGTAATCTTTTTTTTTTTTTTCCATTTCTTTTTCATTGAGGTGATATTTTGATGGTCGAAAAAAACGATAGGCAAGAAAGAACATCCTTTTAACAATCTTTTTCAGGCCTCTTTAACAGTCATTTAGCTATTTCCCCTAATCATATTTCTATTTTTTTTGTAATTAGATATCAGAGAATCTAATGATCATACATGAAGAATGTTTGAAGGTAATTTTGGCTCAATCGAAAGACTAAGGCAATCTGCTTCTCAAACTGCTAATCATCGCATGCAGGTACTCTTTTGTTCATTTTATCATTACTCTTACCTTTTTTCAAAATATTTCATAAGTTATCTGATTATTTAAATCTGTTTTTTGTTATGTCTCTCATTTGCTCTTGTAATATGTTAGGTTGTGACTGGTGATGATGATGATGATGATGATGATTCAGCCTCAAGTTCAGGGGATGATTCCATGGATATGGAAGATGGTGTTGACCATTTGACTGTTGGTGAACCAGGGAGGGGCCCCGCACCAATGGTTGATGCTGATGGCTGGACCGTGGTCTCTTCTAGAAGAAATAGAGGAGGGACGCACTAAGCTTGTGTTTATTTAATAAATATATTATTATATATATTTACAGAAGTCATTTTTGGAAAAGAGTATGATTCATATACAAAGTCTTGATTTTGTTCTTTGTTAGTGGGGATAGATTTTTTTTTTTTTTTATTTAGGTATTATAAGAGTTTGTGGTTTAGTTTTACCATGTGTTGGGTTTTGTATGACAGTTATTTGTTATGCAGTTAATATGTGATGTTTAGTTAATGTCATTTTCTACTCGTTCAATGTTTAGCAAAAAGTTACTAAGTAAATTTGATGTAAAGTTTGTCCTAAGTACATAATTGCTAATGTATAACTTTTAGGGGGAAATTACTAAAATGACAAATCCGTGTTATAATATCACCAATTGAACATTTTTTTTAGCAATTATCATTCAATAATCACCAATTGTGCAAAATGATTTTTGTCAAATATCTGTGGCCTTTGTCAAATACTAATATCTAAAAACATTTCACTTGGTAGTTGTTTTACACAATAATAGATTTCCTTTCCTTAAATAGTTGAAAAGTACTTTCTTAAAATTTAAAAATAAAATAAAAAAATTTATACAGACCATTTTGCAAAATTTGTGATTGGTTTGTGGAAAAATTATCATCCAATACATCTCAGATTTTAATCTTAATGATCCCTTTTTCCCCTCTTTTATATGTTTTGACTATGTTACTGCTTAAAAGCATTTGTGTATTATTTTTTATATTAGAAGTAACTATTATTTATTATATTATTAATATATCATCAGATATTTTAAAAAAGGAAAGAAAAAGAACAAGCTAAAAAACCATAAAAAGGAGAAAAAATAGCAAGGGTTTATTGGGCTAGATAGTTGGGTTTAGCACTATATGAATTATGAAAGAAGACATATGGAAAGTGTCTGGCCCATTTATATGACATCCTTTTCGTTTACTATAAATCTCATCTCATCATAAACCAAAACCCTAGTTGCTGCCGCGCGTAACTCTGTTCGTCACTGTTTTGCAGGGTATGCGTTTGCTCTTTCTGTTTCTCGTTTCGATTTGGCTTCTAGGGTTCTAAATTACATTCCGAGTCTCAATGTTAACGACATCCAGATCTATCTTCTATTTTGTTTGCTTTTCATCGTCATATTTTTCTAGGCCTAACCTATCCGTTTCTCTGATTTTCAGTTGATAGCTTGTTGGAGTTGCTTCTGTTACCAATGGCGCCTAAAGGTTCGTGTTTGCTGTTTTTATTCCATTCTATGTTTTTTGTAGATAAGTTTAGTTTCTGAGTAATGAAAATCGGAACAAAGGTTTACTGAAGTTAATGCTTATCTGCTATATCAACATTAATAGATTTACCTCTATCTAACGAATTTTCCGTTAAGGCCTTCTTTGCTGTTAATCTGGCATTGTTAAGCTACACGGCCTGTAGATTTTTGGAAACAAAGATAGGTTTATAGCAATTGTGGTATTGATATTTAGGCGTTGTTTTAGCTATAGGTCTATGCCTGTTACTTCATATTCAAAAATCAATATATGTTTTTGTTTGAATTGGAACTTATTATTACATGAAATAGTAAATTTCATATTGTATACACTGATTGTTACGTTTTCTACACAATAACTTTTAGTTATACAGCAATAAGTTTGCAAATTAGCTGACGTGTGGAACTTTATGAAGTTTTTATAATTCATATTTTCCAAAAGTTATCCGACAGTGTATATCTTTATGCATCATTCTTCATTTCTGAGATAAAATCATAGATATCACCTCCACATTAGTTTTATATAATCATAGTAGCAGTTATCTTTGTACTAGTTCTAACCATTACATATGTTGTCTTTTATTCACAGGTGATGCAACAAAGAAAGGTGATGCAAAGTCACAAGCTTTGAAGACAGCCAAGGCTGTAAAGACTGGCTCAACATTCAAAAAGAAAGCCAAGAAGATCAGAACCAAGGTTACCTTTCACCGCCCAAGGACACTAAAGACAGACAGAAATCCCAAGTACCCCCGCATCAGTGCTCCACCAAGAAACAAATTAGACCACTACCAGATCTTGAAATACCCTTTGACCACAGAATCTGCAATGAAGAAAATTGAAGACAATAATACCCTTGTCTTCATTGTTGACATCCGTGCTGACAAGAAGAAAATCAAAGATGCAGTCAAGAAGATGTATGACATCCAGACCAAGAAAGTCAACACCTTGATCAGGTATCTTTTTTCGTCTTGTGTTTTTTTAAATGAAACAAAATTTTAAATGCTTGTTTTTGCATATTTTTAATGTTTGTTTGTTGAAATACAGACCTGATGGAACAAAGAAGGCATATGTTCGGTTAACTCCAGATTATGATGCTTTGGATGTTGCAAACAAGATTGGAATCATCTAAGTAAGTTGTTTTAAAGTCAAAAGGGGAATTGTCGTTTCAACTCTATTGTTAGTTTTATTGTCTTGAATAGGTGAACTAAATTTATTTTTGTTTGCTTTTAATTCTGGATTCAATTTTGGTAATGGATCATACTTCTATGGTTGGAGTTATTTTGTTATGTTGATTTCCTTGTTACTTTCTCTCCGTTGAATATATTAATTTCATTCAATCTTGAGCTTTTAGTTGAGACTAGTTTTGTGGTTGAAGAAATGTATGTTATTTGAAATCCGTTTTTTGGGTTAAAATAAATTTTAGGTGATGTGGATGTGAAAGATACAATTGATGATGCAAGTTGAGGTAGGTGAGCTGCATCACCCATATGGTTCATTTCCAATGAATTTTGGTCCAATGAGCTACTTGTTAACCTTTCTATAGAACAGTCTAAATCCCTCTTTGGTAGGGTAGATGAAAATTTAATTAAATGGAATAAAGAAAATAAGATACCATACATCTAGTCATTTTCTCGAGTGACAATAACCCGTTTCTAATGCGTTTGATTCTTTTTTAGTCAATCTGTTACATGACAAAAAAACCATCAGATACAACAAACTTAATGTAGTTTTCCAAATGAGCAAACAATAACAAGCTTGGTCTATAGTTCTCCTATGACCTCAACATCTTGGACATCACCAACTTGTGTACTCCACACTTACGTGTGAAGTAATGCATGAGAGAGACGAACTTGTATTGGGGCGCCCAATGATGTAGGCTCTATGGCAGGGGTGGTCCTAGGACCTTCTATTGGAGTTCGTAGCAAATTTCTAACTTTACTTGTATTGGGGTGCTCAATGATGTAGGCTCTATAGCAGGGGTGGTCGTAGGACCTTCTATTGGAGTTCGACAGTTCGCGCACACCGCCTCTGGATGCGGTTTCCTGCGGTTTTGGCCGCAGTGTGGTGAGTTATGGCCGCGTCTCGTGATTGGCTGTTGCTTCTTTTGACAGTTGAACGGTCCTTCGCGCAGTTATTTTTTTATAAATTCACCCTATATATACTTATCATTACTTATAAAATTTTCACAATAATTTCTTATCTTTTTACTATCTCTTCCTCAAAATTTTTATTTTCAAAATGTCTTCTTCCAAAAGACCTACAAAAAAAACACATCCGCTAGAAACACCGCAACCCCAATACCTTCATTTGATCAACCCATTTTTTCACCTCTGTATTACCACTATGGCGGTATACTTCCGTATTTTCCACAACCACTATCACAACCCTACACAGATTTTAATCCATTTGATTTTTTGTCTCAACCCGAGTTTGTTCAACAAACACAAACACAACCATAAACGGTCGTTTCTGATTCCGAACCGGAATTCGTTAAAGAAACTCAACGCACTCGAGCAGCAACTAAAAGAAAAGATAAGGCGGAGGCTAAATGTTGGGAACCCCTAGAAGTGTTAGTGTTGGCACAATCTTGGATCGATATTTCAGAAGATATGAAGATTGGAAAGACCAAAAGCATGATCGTTTTTGGTTTCGCGTTTTACATAGGTTCCATAAAGAAATGAACCGTGGAGAATACCGTTCAAAACATCAAGTGTACTCGAAATGGGGAAATATGAACAAAGAAATCATGTTGTTTAATGATTTGTATACCAACATGAAACATCAATGAAAAAGTAGAGAAAACGATGATGTGATTTTGAAGAAAGCGGTGAAAGTGTATCAAAAAGAAAACCTGAAAGCTTTCAAGTTTCTTGAAGTTTGAAATTTTGTGAAAGATAACAAGAAATTGCAAAACAGCAAAACATCAGACAAGCATATCGACAGTGGTTCAAAACGCAGCAGAACATCTGAGTCCGATCACACTACATTAGATGCTCGTGTTCAGTTCGATCTGAACGAAGTGGAACCTGTTCCAGTTTCACCACCTTCCCGACCAATGGGAAGAGACAAAGCAAAAAGCAAAGACAAAGGCAAAACGTCGGATTCAGATAAGTTGAAAGGAATGGGGGCCGACATGAAGGGTATAAAAGATAGAAGGGACAAGATTTTGCAAATTTTTTGAAAGAGAGCTTCGGAAACAAAGGGAAAGCAACATGACAATACTAGCTTGGACACGTCGAATATGACTGGGGACGAGCTACAAGTTATTTTGGCGATGAAGGAGGAAGTGGAAAAACGTTACACAAATCGTGGCTAACTTCTAGTTTTTTTTTTCAAGTTTTTAATCGTTTGGTGTTTTTTTTTTAAGTTGTAGTTTTATGTTTCTATTTTGCTTTTCTAAATTTTTAGGTTTTTTTAAGTTAAGCAATGTATGATATTTTTTTTTAATTAATGAAATATTATCTTTTTAAAAAAAATAAAGATTTTATCCAATAAAAAAATAAACCCAAGTAATGCAATGTAATATTTTATTTTTATTAAAAATGAAATTTTATTTGATTAAATTATTAAAAAAAAAAGTGTGGCACCGCTCCTTGGGTGTGACAAAAAACCACACTTATGTGGTAAAAAATGATGTGACACACATGTGGCAGTGAAGGGAGTGCGGTTTCGGTGACACCACTCCCTCCAGCCTTAGTTACCTTGCCATATCTATTTATGGGTGATACTGTATTTTAGCTTTGTCTCGATTTTAGCCCATATGCAACATGTGACCAACAAGTTTTGCATCATGTTTTGATGTAATAGCTTGGGAAAGTTTATGCAATTTATGTATGGTTCCGATATCCTACAATATGTAGGATAAAGTAACATAAACAAAACATCAACAAAACTCGAAACTA